TGTTGTATTTCTTCCTTTAGGCAGCCAGAGACTTGTGAGTGAGATTTAGACTGCCCCTTGCCAGGTGGGAGTGACCATCCCGGGTTAGGATTATAGGGGCGAGTGTGTAGCAATGTGTGGTCAGGTGTTCCCATGCTCCCTAGACAGCCCTGATTGTCCTCTTTCCCCGGCTGTTTACGTCTTTCAAGTGTTTACAGCTAGTCCTGGCCCATTCTCTTGGTTATCAGGCCAGACCTTCTAATCTTGTCATTCTTCCTGGAACTTTCCTAAGCAGAGATCAAATATTTTAGAACCATATATGTTCACTTCAGAGGAGTGCCCTCTGTGACCCAACAGTCAAGAAGACACCCTTGAAATAGATTCCTTGCCTTGCATTCTGGAAGGTGATTTCTTGGTATCGAAAAAGCTGTCAGTTGGAAATTGTAAGATTCTTTGGGTGGGGACTCAGAAAGGTAGGGGGTGAAAATGGCTCCAAGGATGGGACTGGCTTCTGAGTCCTCAGATTCAGAATGAGCTTATGTTCCGTGTGTGTGTGTGTGTGTGTGTGTGTGTGTGTGTGTGTGTACGTGCCATTGAATCAGCTCTGACTCCTCGTGACCTTATGAATGAGATGTCTTGTCTTCACAGCCCTGCCCAGCTCCTGTGGACTCATGCCTAGGGATTATTTATGGAGTCAATATCTCATTTTGGTCTTCCTCTTTTCCTGCTGCCTTCTATTTTTCCCAGCATTGTTGTCTTTCCCAAGGAAAACTTTGCCATCACATGATGTGCCCGGAGAAGGACAACTTCAGTTTTGCCATTTTTCCTCCAGGGATGATTCAGTCTTAATTTATTCCAGGACCCACCTGTTTATCTTTCTGGTGGTCCAGTATATCCATGAAGCTAAGCATATTTCTAATGAATCCATTTTTTCCACCTATCAGCCTTCTTTTCTGTCCAACTTTCTCATCTGTGCATAGTAATTGGGAACACCAGGGTGTGGATGATCTTAGCCTTGGTCTCTAATGACTTGGTGGTCTTTCCGAATTCTTCCATTCGTCCTTGCTACACAGTGGAGAGTATTTGCATGACCTCTGGAGAAGCACTGCAGAAACAATCGACTGATTGCTCGATTGGCTGAAGGGTCTGAGAGGGCTACAAACATACGGGGTAAACTGATTAAGAGTTGAGCAAGTCTAGATATTTCAGTTATCTATTGCTATTTAATGAACCACTACAACACTTAATGGCTTAAAGAAAAAATGATGTATCTTGGTTCTACCTGAACTCACTCCTGGACTCATCCAGCAGGAGGGTCATCTGGGCTGGAATGTTCAAGAAGACCTCACTCACAGACCTGTCAATGGGTACTGGCTGTGGGCTGAGCCCGTTTGGTTCTCTTGTGTGTAGCTTTTCATCCGCCAATGGGCTAGACTGGCTTCCTTAGGGGGTGGTCTTGAGGTGGCTCCCAAGAAAGTGAAAGTGGAAGCTTCAAGGCCTCTTAAAGCTCAGGACTGAAGGTCACACACTGTCACCTCTGCCCCTTCCACTGGCCAAAGCAAATCAGAGTCAACAGACATGGGGGGGGGTCTACGCCAGGGTGTGGATACTAGGAAGTGCAATTCACTGGGACCATTTTGTAACGATCTGCTGCACCCAAGTCAAAGGAAAATAGAGGTTACAGTAGAAATCAAAGCAGTCTATCTATGGCGGTTAGAGACTGTAGTGCAGGGGTAAGGAGCACAGCCCAGACTGGGACCCCAGCTCTGCCACTTCCTAGTTGTGTGACGCTGAGAAAATTGCACAGCCAGGCTGTGCTCCTGGGTCCTCCTCTGCTCAGTGAGGATGATGATAACACCAGTCTTAGAGGCTTGTGATGAGCTGACAGTGAGTTACTACAAGTGAAGTACCAGCGCCAAGCTTGGCACACTGTAAACACTCAGATGTTAACTATTACTATTCATTTTACTCTTCTGTAATGGCAGAGGAGGGACAAATTTGGCTTTAAGTTTTTCAGGTCCGAGGCAAAGAGGAAAAAATACTCTGGTAGAAGCTTTGTAGTGTGCTTAAGCTGAAAAAAAAAATCATTTCAGAAGAAGCTGCTCTGTGTAGAATGAACAAGTATGTGTTTTGACACACTTCATTTTGAATGCAGCAATTTGAGATTGCAAAGCAACTGACCTGGAAAAGTGTCACACTATAAAAATAAATATATTTTTCCATGAGAGCAAATGATTACAGGCAGGACTATCTAGGGATTAGCAAGAGAGGAGTCTGGGCTGGAACCTCAGCCCTCCACTTTGCAGCCTGAGGGAACCTGGGGAAATTCATGGCTCTCTCCAACGCTCATCTCCCTTGTCCACCAAACAGGCATAACCACAGTGTCTACCTTACACAGATGAAGAGACCAGGCAAGTAAAGCCCTTGGTCTAATGCCTGACACATGCTACTCAATGAATATTTGCTTTGACTAATATTAGTTTAAAGATGGTTTTAAGGGAGATTTTTTTCTCTGCTAGAAGACACTCTCTGTGTACTCTTCATGAACTGCTAGTGCTATTATTGTAAGCCTTCCCCATCTCTCTCTTAGCGGGGCACCTGGACTTGTAGGAAATATCGTGAAGTGATTAGCGAGCAAGCAACCAAAGTAATCAAAGGGCAGTGAACCCTGCATTTGGCCTTCTCTCTAAATTCCATGCTAGCCCCCATTTTTCCCATTTAGCAAGATTTCTCAATTGTATGGTTTTTACCCTCAATTCAACTTGGTGCAGCCTCTATGGAAGCTGGCTATAGGCATTTCAGAAGAGCCTTCAGAGCCTTCCAGAAATATCTCGACAGCCCCCAAACCACGGCTCCCACCTCTTTTCAGATGGCTCCTGTCCACACTGCCGCAGTTTCAGGATCCCCAGTGGTGTGAAGCCAGGTTCATCATTCACTCTGCCCCTGGGGAAGCTCCTGCCCTGCCTCTTTGCGTCTGGCTTTCAGTCTGATTTATGGCTTTAGTATGTTGGATGGGGGAATCTTAATTTAAAGCCTCTGCCAGAGGTTGCTGCGCAAACATGGTGCCAGTCAAAAGCTGTTTTCCTTTGGTTTTGCTCCTCTGTCGCCTTTCCTGTGGCATGAAATATGAGGTAGGAAAATGAGGCTACCAGACTGGGGGCGGGGAGTTGTTGAAACACTCTTACGTGATCCCCTGGCAGGTGCCAGGGCTCCATCCCAGCCAGGGACTCAAGTGAAACCTGTGGGTCGTCAAGCCAGGTTCACCCATCGGTTTACGTCTCTTCCCTAAGCTGCTTCTTGAGGCTCTTCTGTGGGGTAGCACCAGTCGGGTTCAGAATCCCTAGTCTAATGCCTGTCAGCTGTTAAACACTCCTGTTCCTTTAGCCAAGGAGATTCTGCTTAGCTCTGCTGCGTTTGCACTATGAAAACAGCAGTAGGTTTTTCACTTTGCAAATTCAAAATTTTGTTTTGATAGTGAATGTGCTATGCATACCTGTCTCCCCAGACCCTCAGACATTCACACGCCCCTCAGGAAATGTTCCCCTCCTCCTGGGGTGAGAATCACTTCCCAGCAGTTTTCCTTGGAGTGAGATCATCCTTTCCCTGTTATCTGGCGTCTCTCTAGGTCAGGGTCGAGCTGTTTTGCCTCTCTGGGCACGACCAGTCTAAACATCTGTGCCGTTCACGTGTGGAACATTCCCAGAGCCATCATTTCAAAGGGGTTAGCTCCTTTAGGGTTGAGTTTCTGTTATTTTGACCATTTGTCCTGTGGGGCAGTGAGTAGTAGCATGAGTCTCCAGGTGGCTGATACCAAATTGCTGGCCCTAGGAATGGTATTTTTGTAAGACGCTCTAAGAATTTCACAGCATGCTCAAGACTGTACTCCTGCCATCTTCTCGAAGAGGAAAGTTCCAGGATAATGTTCATGAAAAAAGTAATAAGGTAAACAAACAGATAAATAAGTAGATTAAAAAGCAATTGTACAGGTGTATGACATGATCTCTTTTACTGTAAAAAAATAAGTGGGTGCATGTCCATGCATTCTCTTGTGTATATGCATAAGGAAAGATCTAGGAAGGTAGCATTTAACTAATGGGATTATGGGCTTTAAAAACTTTTTTATAACAAGAAAAGAAACCTGATGTTATTTATTTCTAATAATTACAAGACAAATCACAGCTGAACTGCAATAACAAGCAAACAAAAACAAGAAAGGGAAGTCAGGCAGGTTGACTGGTTGACTGAGTAGGATTTTTAGGTCAGCGGCTGTGGGTGGGGGTGGGATGGGAGGTCCCCTCATCCGGCCCTGCCTGGCACAGAGCTCCACACGCTGCCTCAGCCTGGGCCTGGCTCGGGGGAAACCACGTGTGGCTGTTCAGACGCGTCCACCTGTTTCCCGAGGCCACTGAGTGCAGACACCACCCCGTGGGCCTGTTTCTCTCTCCCATTGGCTGGAAGCAGCGTTATGTAATAGGATCAAGTCCGTCTATTCAGCTTACTTTGGCCAGCCTCGTTGGAGGCTGCGAAGTAGTGGGGTTGGGCCTTGTGTCTGCTCCTCTCGGGTGCTGAGCATGGCTCCCCCTGAGACTGGTGGCCCCTGGCTCCTTCCTGCTGTGTCTGGGCTTGGGAGAGTGTCCATACATGGGCATTCCTGCATCAGCTCGTCAGCTGATCATCTCCCAGGGCTTGCGGAATCAGGCTCTGGCACCCACCTCTCCCAGAGCCAGCAGACAGTGCATCAGCAGGAACCACTCTGTAAACAGTCAGGAAATCCACCCCCACCCCCAACCCGCTACACGGCTGCCCACGAAACGAGGGTCCCTGCTATCCCCAGCTAGAACCTACTGGGTGTGAATGCAATTGAGCCCTGGCAGCGGACAGGGCCACAGCGCCTCCTGTGGGCTGGTGTGGGAGACACAGCCAAGCCATCAGTTCCTCTGCACTAGGCGGGGCCTTTGCACTGAAGGCAGCGAAGATGTCACAGAAGTGATAGTCACCACAGGCTGTGTCTTCCTTTGCAGAGAAAGTCCACTCGTGTGACCAGGAGAGGCAGAGTGCCCTGGAAGAGGCCCGGCAGAATCCCCGAGAGGGCATTGTCATCCCAGAGTGCGCGCCCGGGGGGCTGTATAAGCCAGTGCAGTGCCACCAGTCCACTGGCTACTGCTGGTGCGTGCTGGTGGACACGGGGCGCCCACTGCCTGGGACCTCCACACGGTAAGTCCCCCAAGCCAGTCCCGCCGCTCAGGTGGATCCTGGGGTGAGAGCACCAGCTTGCTGTCAGGCTGGCCCCTGGCACCTCCCAGCTTCACTGTCCTGGATGGTGGGAGTCAAGACATTAGGAGAGCAGTGTTTCCATTCGTGGGCAGATAAGGTTCTGATAGAAAGATCCGCATCCTGGATGCTGGGTAACCTTGGGAAAGTAGGTAACCTCTCCGAGCCTCAGTTCACTGATGAGTAAGTTACCACCTTGCCTGAGTCACTAGGTTCTATGGATCAAAAACATCCCATGTGCAGACATAGGTGACATTACTATGCTTCAGTGATTGAAAGGACATGCTGCATGGCCCTGGCTGATGTGGCTTAGTTGGTTGGAGCATTGTCCTGTGGACTGAAAGGTCATGGGTTCGATTCCTGGTCAGGGCACATTCCTAGGTTGCAGGTTTGGTCCCTGGTGGGAGCGTGTATGAGAAGGCAGCTAATCAGCATTTCTCTCTTTCTCTCTCTCTCTCTCTCTCTCCCCCTCCCCTTTCCTTGCTCTCTAAAAGCAATGAAAAAATGTACCCAAGTGAGGATTAAAAAATCCCCAACAATTATAAAAAAAGGACATGCCTAAACATGTCTCAGTAGGAATGTTGATGCTGTGGTTGCCTTGTGGTTGCCTTGTAGCTGCTGGACAGTGCAGGAGGCATTGCGCCGCCAGCCCTGGGAGCCCTGGCCTTCATGACAACACGGATCATCGCTGGCTGTAGTGGCCGAGTCCCCTCCTCACCCACTATCTCTCTCTCTTCCCAGCTATGTGATGCCCAGCTGTGAGAGCGACGCCCGGGCCAAGAGTGCGGAGGTAGATGACCCCTTCAAGGACAGGGAGCTGCCAGGTGGGAGATGACACTGGCCCTTGCGGCACCTCACCTCTTCTGCCCCCCCCCACCCCCCCCCCCCGGCCCCTTGCACAAAGCTGCCCTCCTGAGGGCCTGTTTCCCCAAGTCTGTGAGGTGGAGCAGGAATCTGGGTGGGGCCTCCCAGGAACGAGGAGCCAGAGCTGTGGGCTCTGCACCCAGCCTGGGATGTATCCCTAATGAGTCCTGTGCCCTTGAGCACATTCCTCCTCCCCGCCTTAGCTTCTTATCTTTAAAGCATAGTTGTTGCAATTCTACAATTCTTTCTCTATCTTATGGTGATTGGGACAATGTTCTGGACACTGTGAACCCTTTTTCCCAGGGCTGCCAAAAAAGAGAGAGCTTACAGGGAGGGGCTGTCCCGGGGGCATGGGCAGGGTCTGTCACCTGCCCAGCCCAGTGCTTTTGCAATGATCCCTGGTGGCCCAGGAACGTCACTGGGCTGTGACATAAGATACACAGGCAGGAGGCCCAGGACCTCTAAGTGGCTTCTGTGCTGGGTTACCATTATATATAGTGTTCTCTTGCTAATGACTTGCCAGAAGATTAGCAAATATTGGTGGCTGGAAACACTCTAGGTTTAATTAACACACACTCGGACCAGGGCATGTGGGTGCTGGACCCACTTTCCCATTCCACATCAGGACTCCAAAGTGAGAGCTAAACACAGAGGGTCCTGAGAGCTGGTGGGTTTCCTAGTCAGGTGTGTAGAAATCACCGTTTCAACAACGGAGTCTGGAGGCCAGGGGGCCTCCTTCCAGCCATCTCCTCGGTGAGTGTGAATTGGGGTTCTGCGGTGTGCCAGGCACATAATCAAAATGGCATGAGGCTCACGTAGTGGAGGGGACAGAGGCTGTACACATAAAGGAATACAAACATATGTGGATAGTGGTGATGGGAACTCTGACGGGAAAGAGCAAGGTGCTGTGAGGAGGGCAGGGAGAGTCTACTTCAGTCAGAGTCTGAGCTTCTCTGAGAAGGCAGTGTTTGACCACAGCCCCCGGGATTTGCAGAGAGGAGAGAATGAAAGACTCGCTGCAGAGGAGGGCTGTGCAGGGAGTCTTGCGGGCCCATGGGGACCGGCAGTCATGAATTTACAGGGACACCCATCCGTCCAGTTGTGTGGTGGTGTGCACACCAGCCCTTCTGAGCTAGATGGGTGGCGACTTGGAAAGGGCATGTCTGTGAGAAGGTTCATCGTGCTCGGGGTCTGGCTGGAATAGTACAGTGGAGGAGAGAAGAACAAAGGATTTGAGAGCATGTATAAGGAAGATTTGATCATTACTATCTAAGTTGAATGAGAAGTGAAACAAAAGGAGGAGGATCTTAGCTAGATAAACTGGTAGGTCTACTTGAATCAACTCTGACCAAAGAGGGTTCTCTCTGTCCCTTGTGCCCCTTCAGCACCTGGTCCTTCCCTGCAGAGACCACTGGGTCATGCTATACCAGAAATAGCTTAAGTTCCCCCAGCAGACTGTGAACTTCATGAGGATAAGGACCCTACAACCCTGTTATGTCCCTAACATTTAGCATAGTGCCTGAGTTGACACACAGCAAAAATTGGTGGAATGAAAAGAAATTGGAAGCATTATTATCCCTGTGGTCTGACGGTCCTATGTGGGCAGCAGGTGGAGGAACTGTGGTTTAGGAGAGTCATCTCAGCAGTAAATGATTCCCAACGTGGACTGGCTGGACAAGAAGGACCTGGATAGGTTTGGGAAATGGTGTTTGCCAAGGAAACGGTTCACTGGATTATTTACCTGGCATTGGCCTTCAAATCTCACCTTATTTTTCAGGCTGTCCGGAAGGGAAGAAAATGGAATTTATCACAAGCCTCCTGGATGCCCTCACCACCGACATGGTGCAGGCCATTAACTCAGCGGCGCCTACTGGAGGTGGGAGGTGAGAATGTGAGCAGGACTTGGGCCCAGTGGGGAGTGTGGGGCCCCTGACTTTTCAGAGGCTGTGGAGGCTGGGGCAGGGGGCTGGGGAGGGGTTGGGCAGGGCCAAAGCTGCAAGTCAGTCTTTCTCCTGAGACCACCTTGTCCCACCTTCCACCAAGAATCCCCCTGCCCCTCTCCCCTCCCTTTGTTGTTTGACTCTAGCTCGTAGTTACCAGATTACAGGCAAGTCCAGGGATGTCTAGAGACTTCCACACTTCGGTCTCAGAGGTAGATACGTAGGAGCGGTAGTTTTCAGTGACAGGAAGAGGGATGGCATATGATGGGAACAGGAAGGGCAGGGAGGGAGTGCTCTTCTCTTCTGAGGAAGGAGATGTGTGAGAATTCCAGGTGGCTCTGGGCAGTGGGATTGGATACTCCCATAGTCAAAAGCAATTTAGTTTGGGAGCTGATATGCTGGCCGAGGCAGTCGGCTTGACATGAAGCTGCAATGCACGTGCTCCCCAGTGACCAGCATCTGCGGCGCTCACTAATTTGGGCCCATCAGGTTGGAGTTGGTTGGAGCATGCACGCATCCATCCATTTACTCAGCACCTATGGCACACGCACAGCATGCCAAGCACTGGGCTACGGACTGGGAATCCAGGGATATGAAGCACGTCCCTGCCTTCAAAGAACGCAGCCTAGTGGGGATAGTAGGCTCTAGACAGATGCTGACAGGCTGTGTGGTAGGTGCTAGAACAGAACAGAGAAGGTTTGCTAACTTAGTCTGGAGGAGTCAGAGAAGGCTTCCTCGAGGCAGTGATAGATGAGCCAAGTTTTGAAGGATAGGTAGGACTTAGCCAGAAAAAGAAGGAAAGCCATTTCAGGGAAAAGGAAAGACCGCTGTGACTCCAAGAAAGTGCGTGTCTATGTTCAGTACGGCTGGGCAGGGCGGGTGGGGTAAGAGGGAAGAGCAGGCGGTGAGAGTGGGAGTAGAGGAGGCAGAGGAGGCAGGCAGGAGCCAGGTCTGTAAAGGCCTGTGAGGGGTGCTTCCCCTTACGGAGGCGCAGCGGAAGGGGTGGGCCAGCACTCGGGTGCCTACAGCAGTGCAGTGGAGAAGTACCGTGTGCTTGGCAGGGATGGGCAGCCTGCCTCTGAGCCTACGTGGCTCACCAAGAAGCGAGGCTAGACCCCACACACCTGCTCAGAGGCAGAGCTGTCATCAACAAGGTAAGGAGTGCCACCATGATGACAGGCCCAGGCCTCCAGGCCCAGAGAAGCACCCAAGTGCAGCGATGTCAGTGATGACCAGCAGAACCGCAGGTGTGTGCCTCGGCAGGGGAAGGAGGATGCAGACACAGCTGTCAGTGGTTCTGTGTCTGGAGGAGGACGAAGGCAGCCGTCCTGAGAACCCAGTTTTGTGTCACATCAAGCCCAGTGGGTGCCTCGTGGGTTCTACTCTTGGAAATTGCTTGTCCAGGGGAGGGGTGGTTGCTCTCAGCAGGCCTCCAGACCTGTGAGCTCTGGGGCTGGTTTCTGGCCCGGCTCTGATTTGTCACCCCCTGTGGATGGGGCCAGGCCTCCCCAGCAGAGCACAGCACAAAGTCAGGGAAGATGGAGACAGGGGCGGACAGGTTGGCCGATGGGGGCATCCCCGGGTGCTCAGTGATGGGGCACCTCAAACAAAGAGGGCTGTGTCCAGATCTCCAAGAAGACTGGAGGGGGGTGATTCTTGAAAAGGTATATTCAGTATTATATACCTTTATGCTATTTTATGCTTAGAATATGAAAAAAATTCCATCTCCATTTCATGCAGAAATGGGCATGCGATAATATTGATGTTTATTAGAAGAGAGGGAGAAAAGGAAGGGGCATGGGTTTAAAGCTCCCATGTCTGTGTACTCCCCCCCAAACCCTGTGAGGGCTGCTGGCTGTGGTCAACCACTCGGGGAGCCGCTTGGCTCTTGAACTTCAGTGCTAAGGAAACAAGACTTTAAGCTTCATCCCGTTAGTTTCCTTGGGAGCTCTGACCCCGAGACCACGTGGTCTTGGTCCAGGCAGGCTGAGCATGCTGGGAAAGGGCGAGCCTGTGGGTCCTGGGCCAGCAGGTAAGGGGCTGGCAGGGGCCGAGAGCGCAAGGGGACCCTGTTGCCAGGGACAGTTATGAGTGATGTCTTACCCTCCAACTATGGGCTAAAGGAATGTTTAAAGAAACTAAAAACTAAGTTTATAAACACTTTTAATAGGAAAGGGATACTTTTCTTTCAAAAATCCCCTCTCTTTTAGGTGTCTTATAGGGTTGGGAGAAGTGTTTAGAAATATGTTTTCCTAACATGTTTTTAAAGGTTCTCATGCAGCTTGGCCGTGTTTGGTTTTGATGAGAATGAAAGCTTTGACCTGCATTTGGTAATTGTGTTACCTGGAGGCTGGACTTGTAATCAAATGACAGACAAGAGGAACCCAGAAATAGCTGAGAAATTGGGAAGGGGCTGGGGTAAGAGGGAAGAGAAAGAAGTGGTTAAATCGGGAGGCAGCTGGCCAGGGTGGCCAGGTTTACTGGGTGTAGAGCTTTTTAGATCATCCTCTTACGTTCAGGGGGAGCCCTAACTTGACCTGAACTTGCCCTGCAGGATGGTTTTGCTGGGCTCCTCTCATCCTCCTCTTGTCCCTACCTCACACTGCAGCCCTTGGCCCTCCTCAGTTCCTCGAGGCCAAGCTCATGCCTCCCCCAGGGCTTCCAGGTCCACTCTCCATCAGCCTGCAGCTACAGGACCCTGGTGACAAGTGCCATGATTTCCCCATCTTCCTGTGGTTGGCCCCTGCTTACGCATTTAAATGTCACCTTGTCAAACACCACCCAGTCTAAAGGAGCTGCTTGGTCACCCTCCATCACAACCCTTCTTTTGAAGTCTCAACCGAATACTTACCGAATACTCAACCGAATCTGATATTTTGCTGTATCGTTTACTTATTGTCTGTGTCACCCCGCCCGATGAAAATTTCAGTTCTGTGAGAGGAGCATTCTCTGCCTTCCTCCCTGCTGTATTCCCAGAATTCAGAATAGTGCCTGGCTCATAGTAGGTGCTCAATAGATATTCGTTAAATGAATAAACAGCTTGAAGGATGGGTAGATGGGTGGAAGGATCACTGTCTGATACAGAGAAATATGTCTTGATAAGCCCTGTTTATCTTGGCACACGTGAGAGCATCAAGGAGACCTCATCCAGTCCCTCCTGCATCCTCTTAGGTCCTGGCAGTTAAAGCTGGACATCAGCGAAGGACAGTGGGAAAGTCCTACTCAGGGACGGCGGGAAGAAGGACCAGGAAAGATGTTTGGGCAGTGCAGAAAAAATAGTCTTCCTTTCCAACCTACCACCTGGCAGGCATGGAGATTTAAGTCTTGCACCAACTCTTACATCTCTCCTCTCTCCTTACGTAAGCTCTGTGCTGGGTTCTGGGGACACTCGGGAACAAGGGTGTACTTTCTGGTCTGGAGGAGCTCCTGAAAGAAGAGATAGCTAATCACAAGATTTCATCATAAAGTCATTGTCATAATAGAGGCAGATAAAGTGCCTCAGGCCCTCGGGGGAGGGAGGACAGACATGGGAGAGAAATCTTTACACAGGAGGTGACATTTGAGCCACCTGTTCAGTTATGAATGGGAAAATGCCCCAACCTAGATGGACCAGGGGTAAGTGCATCCCAGCAGAGAGGCCCCAGGGGTAGTGAGGTATGAACAAGGTAGGGCCTGTGGAAGGAATTGTAAGAAGTATGGTTTACATTTGGGAGGCAGGCTGTGGACAGGCAGGAGATGAGGCTGGAGAGTTGGGCAGAACCCAGATCACGCTGGGCTTTGTGATTCATGCCAGAGAGGGCAGCAAGGGGCCACGTGATTTGATGGGCAGGAGGGAGCCAATCAGGGCAGGAAGGCTACAGCAATTGTTAGAGTGAAAGGTAAGGAAGGGTGGACTAAAGCTAGGGGACAAGGGATGATGTACTGAAGCTTTAGTAATGAAGTCAATAGGATTCAAAAATTTTTCAGAGGCAGGGGAAGGAAGAGAGGGAGATGTCTACTTCTTCTTCTGGCCTGCTAGCCTGATTTAGAGGGTAAAGCAGTGCCAGCCAAATCTAAAAGTAGACAAAGTAGAATGAGGTGTCCACGGAAACGTCTGTGGCTGGTGCATGTGAGGGGGTAGCCTGCTATCATTTCATAGCCACTCTTTGCAATGAAGGCTTGTTGCATTATCCTGTTGGTTCTTTCCACCAGAGCTCCACGAGGCAGAGCTCTCCCTTAGATCAGTCCTCTCATAGCACCCCATTAGCATTTATCACTTCCAAAGGAAGGGTTCTGAGACCCGAGCCGGAGGAATCTGCTTGAGCAGGGGAACCCACTCCAGGAGAAAGACAATTGTGAGGAGAGGCGGGATGGGCCACATGAACCTCCTGGCCCTTTGAGTGGCCCCCCAAGGAGGGACGGCTTTATTGTAGCTTCCTCCTTTCTCCCCACTGTGGTTACTTATTGATGGCATTGCAAGGAAGAGGCTGGAATGTGGCTGACTTGGCATTCCCCAGCCCCTTCCCCCTGCACAGCTGGCAGGGCCGGACCTGACTCCAGATGCAGCTCAGTTGGTCTGCTTGGTTTGGCTACTGCCTCCCAGCTGGCCCACCTCACCTTCTTTAAAACTGCTTAGGACAGCAGAACTGGGCCCAAGATCTTGGCTGAAGCAAGTTTCCTTGTGGTAAATGGGGCTGGCTCTCCGGCTGTGCATCGCAGCCAAGACCTGGCGAGGCTCAGGCTGCAGAAGCAAAACTGAAAGCACTGCAGAAGGGTGGCACCTGCCACCTTTCAATTTCGAAGAAGGCTCATGGAGGCCAGTCCAGGGGGGCCCTGGCTCTAGCGGGTTTCCTGATCCCGGGAGACAGAAGTCAACAGGACAGCCACTTAACCAGCCCAGAGGCACGGCATTTTACTGTGCCTTTCCCACCATATCCAAGGAAACGTGAATGCTCTACGTGCCCAATGAGCCCTTTTAGTAGAAGCGAAACTTTACTTGTAGCGAGGCCTTAGCATGGACCAGCAAATCAGTGTTCAGTGGTCTTAAGGAACCATTGCATCCTCTAATGTCAGGTCTCCAGCCCTTGCCTAACCGGCTTTGAATTCCAGCAGTCCTGATTTCCAGTGGGTGTTATGTGTGCACCTGTGAGAGAGAGGTTCGTAGCTTGATGCCCATATAAGCCTAGAGCTGGGGGGTGGGCTGCAAATTGCCAAAGTTTTTAAAGGATCCTTCAAGAAAACTACAAGAGTGGGAGATACCAGCAGAGTATAGCTCTGAGGTTGGGGTAAATTTGGGGAATCTAACTATGACGGAAAGGGCTCCAGTCAAGACTGTTTGAGAGATCCATGGAAACTCTGGGGGAGGCCCTCCTGCCCCACCTCATCCACACTCCCTTGGGAAAGCCTTAGCTTCTCCTTAGTTAACAGAGGCCTCATGTGTCTTCTTTCACACGTGCCCACTGTTGGTCTGGCTAAACCAGGACTCCCCGTGGATCTCAGAGTTAACTAGCTCTGGTATGAAGCTTTGTCGGTTTGGGACTTAAGGCTGTTATGAAGCCCAAAGAGCCTGATTTACATAGTTTTAAACCAGACGCCTTCTGTTATGTTTTGCTGGAAATATGTAAACTACCCCCAAGTCCTTCCATGTTACTGTCTTTTGTTTCACCCCATCCTCTTCCAGAAGGTTCATGCTTAAACATTCCTCCAGGTCATGGTGAGAGTCTCCTTCCCACTAAATCCCACTAAATCAAGGATTCTTTAGCTGAGTCTGTGACCTTGGATGAGGTTTAGGGAGTCCGTTAAACCCCTAAAATCTGCAAAGTTCTCTGTATGTGTGTGTGTGTGTGTGTGTTTCTAGCGAGAGGGACTATAGCTTATTTAGGTCCTCAGAAGGGTCATGATCTCCCAAAGCTAAGAAGTGCTTGCTTTAAATGCATTTGGAGCTTGGCTGGGATAAGGTGTTAGGTTCCAAAGTTGGACCTTAGTACTGCCAGCTTCACATGAAGAGCTGGGCTCTGTGTTTGTGAGTTTCTGGAGGTCAAAGAAGTTCAGAGCCAAGAGCCCTATACTAGCTGGGGAGGAGGGAGGGAAGAGGCAGGACCCTCAGGCTCCACAGGTCAGGCTGTGAGCTGTGTCAGTGTTAGGGAGGGAAACAGGCATTTCTGGGAGGCGCCTCAGAGGACCTCTTCTGGGCAAGTGTCCTTGGAGCCTCCAGGAGCTGGGTCAGGGGGCAAACAAGGGGAAGCCAGCAGTTGTACGTCATGGCAGCTCTGGGCTTGAGGTTCTGCTGGGAGTGAGGAGGGCAGAGCATGGTTCTCTGGACAAGGGAGATAGGGTAGCAGGGGAGAGGCAGAAGAAAGGGAGGGGAAAGGGAAGATGGGCCAAAGGACGGTAACTCTCGGCATGGGAAGAAACTCCTAGGGGTTGTAAAGGGAGGAGAAGAGAGGCTTCTTGCTGTAAACCTCCCCAAAAGTAGGTGCAGGGGGCCCCATCAGTGGAGGTGCTGAGAGCTGGGCAGGCGGGGGCCCCAGGAACACGTGTTGGAGGCAGCACGCCTCTCCTGGCAGGGTGTCCAGGCAGGGTGACCTCATTCCTTCCCGTCTCAGTGACTGAGGCTTTATTATTCCAGCCTCTAGGTAGACATTACGCTATGCTGAGCCTAAAGGTTAGCTGCCTTTGCCTGGGTCCCCTGGCCAGAGGGGCCACCCCCACTACACCAGCTTCCTTTAGAGAGCCTCTGGTGGGAATAACTGGAACGCGTCTCCTGGGGCACCCCCGCCCCCCGCCACAGCTGGGCCCCTCTCCCAGGTTTAGGGGCAGGCAGAGGCAGGCAGAGGGAGCTAGCCACCCTCCCTCCTGCACTACAAGCGTCCTCATAGAGAATTTTCTGCTGCCCACCTGGTATTCCCTGCAGGGGTTGGCTTGAAAAATGAATGTGGCAGGTAAAACAGAGAAAGCTTAAAGATACCCAAACACCATGTACTGGCAGAGACAAGAACCTGAGCTGTGCATTGAATACCTCCATGCCTGCCACAAAGACTTCCCGAGCCTGGCTTCCAGTTCAGACGAAGCCGATTGCCACTGAGCCCAAGGCAGCCCATCCTTCCATCTTCCCCAGGTCCTCCCTGCATTCAGCCCAGCACCATGAGGTCCTGCTGGCAGGTCCACTAATTACGCTTTCTTGGAATCTGTCCAGGGTGTCCGGGGGCGCTGCCCAAGACTGCAATCCACTTAACGAGGATTGGGTGTTTAGCAGGCTTTTTTTTTTTTTTTGTAGTGAAACCTCTTTTCCCCTAAATGTTGAGGTCACTAGGGTGTAGGAAGAGGAGGGAATTTGCTGGCTTGTTCATAGGGGAGGGGTAGGGATGGTCCCTTTCCTTCTGGAAAACTCAGCAAACCCTAGAGAAGAACCCCAAGACATTGGCAACTGTCTTGAATACTTTTCTTGATGAGTACAGCTACAGAATGTGCTGGCAGGCCCGGAACCCCTTAGCTGGGATCCCTTTGGGACACGGAGCCCCTTTCTGATGAAGAGCACGGCGCTGCCTGTCCCAGTGCCCTGTGGACTGAGTATCTGGATGCATGGAACTCCCAAGGTCATCTTATGCCCCCAGCAAGGGAAAGCTGCCGGGAACTTGATCGCAAAGGCCTGGACCCCTTTCACTTAAGGCCAGTTCTGGGCAGCAGGAGACATGGGACTCCTGTGGCTTTGTCCTTCTGGTCAGAGACCTCAGTCTCTCCTCTATAATAGACCCATCATTGGCTTTAAAAGTTTTAAGTGTCAGCTGGCACCTGAGTCCTGTTGGGGAGAAGATGAGGCATAAGTAAACAAAGTGGCGGGTCAGCTGTGAGCACAGTTGTACAGGCAGACACTGCCACTGAATGGTCACCAGTGCATGTGGACCGTTGGACATGGTCATTATGGTGCATCCAGACCCCTGGGAAGCTTTCTTGGCTGCTCTAGTCCAGTGCTTTCCAGAAGAATCCCCTGGGGGGGTTTCTGAAAAAAACATGTGGTGTCCTGAGTCCACCCTAGCCCTCCTGACTTAAAACCTCTCTCTGGAGAGACTCACCTGTAGCAGGTCTGGGACGTGCCAGTTTTAGAATCTCTCTCTGTGTCCATTCTAACTGCCTTCTTCTCTCAATTCCTGTTGTACTTGGTACCTGACAGCATGGACCATGGGAACATCACACTTCATACTGAACTGTCACTGTCTGGTTTCATGTTTTTGGCTCTGTGTCGTGAGACAGCGAGCAGCTTGAGGCAAGGGGCTCCGCCTCTCCCTTCGGAAGCCCTCCCAGGGCCTGTCCTAGTTCTGGGCTGTGGTGCACACCCAGGGCACACTTTCCCATAGTCACGTTCATTCGCAAGTGCATGTTCATGTGTGAAGAGCAGCTTGTCTGGCAGGGAACACTGAGCCAGGAGGAGGACAATTTAGACCCAATCTGTGGTTTTCTGAGGTGAGTTAAATCCAAACAATATGTCTTGAATGCCCATCTTGTACCGGGACGTTCCTGGCTGTGGTAGAAAGTGAATCAGAGTCATGACATAAGAGGTGAACTTACGTCATTTAGGCTTGAGACTCAGGGTGGAGGGGAGAGCTGGATTATGCTACGCCAAGCGGGCCTGGGAGGCCTTTGGCTGGAGGAGTCATTTCTACCCGGCTGCCCATCCGAGGGGCCTGGCACCTGACTGGGGGAGAGAGTCGTGGGGTGAAGGGTTTCTGCAGCATCCTGAGCTGTGTTCTCTGGGCGGGGGTGTCTGCCTGTGGCCCAGGTTCTCAGAGCCGGACCCCAGCCACACCTTGGAGGAGCGAGTGGTGCACTGGTACTTCAGCCAGCTGGACAGCAACAGCAGCAACGACATTAACAAGCGGGAGATGAAGCCCTTCAAGCGCTACGTGAAGAAGAAAGCCAAGCCCAAGAAATGTGCCCGGCGGTTCACTGACTACTGTGACCTGAACAAGGACAAGGTCATCTCGCTGCCCGAACTGAAGGGCTGCCTGGGTGTGAGCAAAGAAGGTGAGTGCTTGCCTTGGTGATTCTGACCTTCCAGTACTTGTCCCACCAGGCAGAGGGACCAAGGGCCCCCCAGTAGATGGAATCCCAGGGACTCATTTGTTTGGCTGTCTCCTGGGAGGATGTTATATTTCATGCTAGATGCCTGTACACTAGAGGAATTAAAGTGTTTACATGCATTGTGATAAGTGCTATGAGAGTGTATTAGGAGAGGCCAGAGGAAGACCCACACATGTAAGGGCTCAGCACAGTGGAAAGCTGTCTGCCTTGCCCACATAATAGTTCAGCCTGATTCCAGGTCATGGTGCATGTGTGTGTGAGTGTGTGTGTGGCGTGCAGGGAAAAGAAGGAGTACAGATTGCTCTGTACAGGCACTCTGAGATCCAAGCTAAGAATGACTCTGCCATCTCTATCATGTGGCTCCCAAGGTCACCGTGGGGGCCACCTACAGGCAGTCAGCCTGTAGTAAAGCCTGGAGCTGTGCATGGAAGGGGGGTTCATGGGCCAGCCTGAAAGCGACGCATGCTACCTCTTGTGTTTCACTGGCCAGAACTCATTCACTGGTCCACACCCTGCAGTAAGAGAGGCTGGGAGCCCAGGAGGAGGAGGAGAGGATGGATTCTGGCCAACATCTAGTTATCTCTGCCACGGGAAAACAAGTACTAGAGTATTGTAGGGACATATGTAAGGGCACCTACATCAGCATGGGGACAGATGGCCTTGGAGAATTTCTTGAAGTGACTGATGTGTAAACCAGGGGTCAGCAATCCCTGGCCATGAGCCCAGTCTAGTCCACGGCCTGTTTTTGTGTGGTCTGTGAGCAAAGATGACTTCTGCATTTTTGAAGGGATGTAATTTTTTCAAAAGATGAAGAAAAACCAGAGATAATACATGGTCCACAAAGCCTAAATTATTTGCTATCAAGTCCTTTACAGGTAAGGTTGCCAACCCCAGTGTAAACCAGCACCTGCGGAAGGAGTGGGCGTTGGCAAAGCAGGCAGGTCAGAGGAGGGAGATGAAAAGTGACGATGCTGCAGTGAGGAGACAGAGGAGACAGAGTTTGGGAGGAACTGAAAGATGTGAGTGTGACACAGGTGCACTGAGGTTGGCTGGAGAGGGGAGGCGGCAGGAAGCAAGTGAGTTTCGTCTTTGTAAGGTTGGTGGGAAGCTGTTCAAGGGGTTCAGTCTGAGAAACTAGAGATCAGTTTTGCTTAAAAAAATTATCCTGGTTACAGTGTGGGAAACCGAATGGAGGTGAGCAAGGGCATGGTGCCCAATGGGAGACTGTGGAGTCGTGCAGGCAGGAGGCGACGGTGGCCCGAGTCAAGAAGGACACTTGGGGATGCAGAGGAGTGGGGGGACTTGAGAGGGACAGGACTTGGTGACTGGGTGGAGCTGGGGATGGAGGCTGTTTGGGTGACGGGATGGGGGGTTTCTTCAATGAGATGGGCTGCATGGAGGAGGAGTGGAGTGGACGTGGAGGTGGGGGATAATGCGTATGGCGGGGACGTGTCAGGCAGGATGCACTCCAAGGATGAGTGGGTCTGTAGAGCTGGCAGAGGGGCTGGGCTGAAGATGCTGGTTTGGGTGCTGCTGACTCACTTGAAATGGAAGCTTTGGGAGGGCTGAGGTTGCCTAGGAGGAGACCTCAGGGCTTTCCCTAGTTCTAACCCTTGGTAGCCATGCGAGCCCAGGGGACAGCATGGGCAGCGGCTGGGTTACTGCAGGTACCCAGTCCCAGGAGCTGCCCCCTCCATCTCTGGGTTTCAGCCCAGGTTCCAGGGTGAGTGACTTTATCACTCTGGGCACTCTCATCTGATGAGGCAGCCACTCAATGTCCCCACAGTGCTTTGAGTCCCCAAGACACAGTGAAATGTCATGGTTCAGACCCTGCCTCTGCCACAGACTAGCTCCTTCACCATCCATGCACTACTCAACCATGTGGGCTTTGGTTTCTTTATCTGCAAAATGGGACTAAACATAGCATCTACCCCATAGGGCCATTGTGCTGATTCAGTGAGACCGTGAGTGGCAGCATTTACCATAGTGCCTGAGACATTGGAAAAACTCAATAGAATATCAATATTACTCCTCTTCTTCATAAGATTGTTGCCTCTATCAGCAGCACTTATCACACTGCATTGCACTTGACTTTTCTGTTTCCCCCTTGAAGCCACAGACTGTGCCTTTTGAACCCCACCCTCTAGCCCAGTGCTCAGCACCTAGCAGCCGTCCACTAGAACCTTGTCAGATGGGTGAATGAATGGGTGAGGGGTTGCCCCTTGCGGTGACATGACGCTTCAACACACTGGGAATCTGCACTGATTTCACAGAGCGCAGGCAGAGGCCAATGTTGGGGAGAGACCATCCAGTGTGATTATGGACCCCAGGCTACCCAGGAGCACTTCTGAGCTGAGCAGGGGTGGACTCCCAGAGGTCTGGAGTGACTCTGCCCTCAGTCCCCTGCCCATGCTGGTGGTTCTGGTGCCCCCAGCACACAGGCTTAGTGGGGCACAGCGCAGTGACCTCAGGTCTACGGAGCTCAGCGAAGCTTCCTACTTTGCACTGAAGCCTCCGTGGGCACCAGGTGCCTGCCAGTCCCTGCTGATGTCCAGGGCCCGAAGGCTTCCAGCTTTGCCTCTTACTATTTCTGCAATCTTTGGCAAGTTATCTAAACTCTGAGCCTCAGTTTCCTCATGTGCAAAATGGGGATGATGTTATCTACCTCATAGATTTGGTGAGAAGATTTGACAAGATGGTACATGTGAAGAACTTAGCCTAGTACCTGGTTCGTGGTGAATGGACACAAGCAAATTAGTAGCAATGGAGGAACACACCTAGGGGCTGGAAGCAGCTTCCCTCAGTCCCTCTGCTCTGGGGAGCTGCACAAAGCCACCTGGGTGGATGGCTGGAGGGAAAGGAGCACATGCCTTGGTCATCTGGTGTCATGTGGTGCCCTCTGGTGGTCCAAGAGGGGCTTGCATGCCAGATGAGGAGGTGGAGGGGGTGGGGGAAGGAGGGATGCAGTGTTGAGGGTGAATATAGCTTTGGGTCTGCAGGACTGAATTTTTTAGAAGTGACTCCTGAACACAGGTATTTTTAGCAACCAGACTCCTCACTGGGAGCTGAATTCTCTGTGGCATAAAAAGGCCAGACATTCTGAAAGCTGGGCCTCTTTCTTAACTGGTCCTTTATCGGGATTACTGTTCCGTCCTGTGAGACACGCAGGGTGGAGACGGGTTTCTCCATTTTTGAAAAATGGCGCCGTCCCCCTTGGATTGCCCGAGGACACCTCCTGCTCTGGGGTCAGGCCTGCTTTCCCTGCTGCCTTCCGCAGTGGCTAGGGCACGGTTTTGGAAGCAAACAACCACCTCTGAGTTTGCTTCACCACATAAAAGCTGTGCCAACTCCAAGCCTCATTCCGTCACCCTGGTGTGAGGCTAATTGGATTCTTTTATATAAATATCACGTAAACTTGCTGCAAGAAGTTCATTCCATGACTTAGGGGAAGGGGTCAGCGCAGCGAGCCCTCACAAGGGAGAGCTTCTCACTGCCGACTGCTCGTGTTCTTCCCACGCCTCAGTGTGGAGGGCAGGGCTGCGCAAGATTCCGGTTTACATGTGCAGGTCACTCTGCGCAGCACCAGGAGAGGCAGCTGCCACCAGAGCAGGCGAAAGACGGCTCTGCCACCTCCCACCTGCCTGTCTCTCCCAGTTTGTTTGCTTGTCCGTAAAATTGATGTACCTATGTCTTCCCCACGCCCCAGCCACCCCGTTCTCTCTCCTCTCTCATCAGGTCTTCAGGAAGGTTAGCGTAACTGGAGGCACAGGACCTGTGGGTTCACTGACCCGTGGGTGGGTGTGAATTCCACACCACTCCACACTCCGCAAAGCCCTTTCTCCACCTGCATGAATTCAGTCGCTCCTCAAGGCAGTTCTGGGAGAGAGGCAGATCAGGTGCAGCAGGGCTGTGGCCCCAAATCCATCTATAGACCGACCCAGAGGGTGATGGGCATGTACAGAGTCACATGGACCCTAAGGGTCACAGGAGCTGGTCCAGCTTTTGCTGTGCCTGCCTCCCAGCTCCCCACTCCCCCTGTAGGAGACCTGGGCCTTGCAGAAGCCTCCCTGTGGGGCAGAATGGGTGTTAGCAGAACACACCTTGGACCCTAGTTAAGTCACTCAACTGCTCCAAGCCTCGGTTTCCAGAGTTGTCAAGTAAAGGGGTTAGGCCAGATGACCACCAAGGTTCTTTCCCCCTCTGACATTCTGTGACTTGGAGAACCAGGGCCAAGGAGGGTATGCAAATGTCCACCAACACTCAAGCTCTTCTTAGCTCATGGTGGAGTGGATTCCAAACACGTACCCCAGGGGGTTCTGGCCTTATGGAAAGGAGACTTTGTTTAATGGTGTTGGCTGGCACTGGGTTCGCTCGGGCAGAGCTGGGCCACCAGCACCCACAGGGCAGTAAGCACAACCATGCCACCTCTGGCTCTTTCCCAAGTCCACTCTTCATTCCAGGGCTCAGAGGGGACAGGGACCTAGGTATAGAAGAAGCTCTACTTGAAGCTCTCAGGTCAAGGCCACTTGAGTGTTATATAGTCCTATTTGTTGCAAATGGTAGTCTTGGCAGCTTCCCCCAGGGAAGATGAACAGGCACAAACCCATTCAGTAAGTTGCCTTCTTTCTGGGGTCTGCTATATGGACCCCTCATGCAGCTTTGGTTGCTGCAGCAGGAGTAGAGAGATTGGCCAAGTAACCTAGCTTCCCATTTTTTTTATTATTATTATTATTATTATTATTATTATTATTATTAGTTGTTGTTGTTGTTGTTGTTGAGGATGCAAGAGAAAGATTGGTTAGTGCTGTGAGAATCCCACCATCCCAACCTGTAAACAAGGACCTGTCACTTCTTCCAGCCCCAGGTGGAAAGCCTGGCATCCAGGAAAAGAATGGTTTGTGCAGAGGGCACAAGCCCAGGGTCCTTACTGGGCAAAGCCTAGTTCTCTGGAACGCCAAATGTGTGCCCGTTGCCATGGTGATGCCTCCTGGTGGCAAAGGACGGGCTGGTAAAACATGGGCTTATCTGTAAGTCTAGGCCAGCTGTGTCCTGCCCAACCCCGCATGGAGCAGCAGATGGAAAAGGCTGCTCTTCTCTGGAAACTGATCGATGTGGTTGGATTTCTCATATGCCCAACTCTGATTTCTTCTTGTTCATACCGCCCCTTCTCAGCAGGACGCCTCGTCTAAGGAGCAGAAAACCGAGGGGCAGGTGGAGAGGCCTGGGAGGCAGGACGGGTCATCAGACGCCTGACCCTCGACGCTGCCGTGGCCCAGCCACATCCCATGTAACATGAGTGGTGCCCACCGTGTTTGCACTTTTAATAACTCTTATTTGTGTGTTCTCTTTTCGGTTTCATTTGTAAACACCAATATCTAATACCACAGTGGAAAAGGAAAGGGAAGAAAGACTGTTTATTCTCTCTCTTATTGTAAGATTTTGGATCTGCTACTGACAACTTTTAGGTTGGGAGGGGGGTGTTGTGGGACTGAGAAGAAAGAGATTTATATACTGTATATAAATATATATGTAAATTGTATAGTTCTTTTGTACAGGTGTTGGCATTACTGTTTGTTTGTTCCCCCTCTCTCCCTGATGTGGGTTTTTGGAGCTCTGGACACATGGCCGAGGTTTAGGCCTAATGCCCAGCCCAGCTGCATTTGGTGTGGAAACAGCCCCCCGTGTGCATGTGGACGGGAGCCCAGGATTATGCTGCAGGCTCCCTCAGTCTCCTTCCGGTGGGCAGAGGAGAGTGCACTGTGCCCTAGCTGTCGAGATTGGGGAGCCACTTTGTGGCTGGCCCTTTTGGGGTGGGGGGGGGGTTGTGGGGGGGATGGGAGCTGCCTCTGCGGGAGGGTGACATTTAGCTCAGATACAAGTTCTCCCTGTTGTCCAGACCCCCAGGTGGCTGGAGATCCGTAGGTAGACCAGGATCCTGGTGACCCACGGTACAGGTGTCCTTGGAGCATTTGCGTTAGGTCAATTGAAATATTTTCACCCACATTTAGTGCCTACTCTGTGTAAAACATGAGAGGGGAGGCAAAGAGGAAAAAGGCAGAGGGTGGGGCCTTTTATGTAGATGTTTAATATTTAGGCAGCAGAAGGAAGAGCACAGAAAGTGTCATTGGTTGAGTGCAGCACCCACCCAAAGGAAGTCTCCTCCCCTGCAGACCCACAGCCCAGGCCTCTGAGACCTACCCAGCCCCCTGCAAGGCCACTGGGTCAGACTGGGTTTTCACCTCCACTCCCCACCGCACACCCCCTTCCCCCGCCATCCCCAGTGGTCAGCACAAGCCTGAGGGAGGAGTGGGGTCCATCACCTTGGTGGTAACTGATTTATTTTTATTTTTTAACCCAATACTGAGGTTTTTTCTGTTTCCTCAAATGGTTTTAAGGGCTCCCAGGCATGAGGCCAATTCCAGAGCCTCCCAGAAGTGCAGGAACAATAACCCAGCTGGGGCAAGCACAGGCCTACCTGTTCCCAGACCTTTTACCAGGGTTCCTGTGGGAACTGCCCAGCCTTTGGGGCAGACATGCAGCTTCCTTTGCCCAGGTGACCATGCACATTCAGACAGAGAGCGCCACTTAGCACCACTTCCCATGAGCAGCCATGGCAGCAGCGAGGGAGGGCAGGTACCCCAGGACTGGTGCCCTTGTTGGATTGCTCTTGGGAATCTGGCCTCACCTTGTATCCCAGTCCAGCATTCCTATAAGTGCACCCACTTTGCAGGCTGTGTACCCCACCTTGGTTTGGAATGCTTTGGCATTGTAAGGCCTCCTCCCCCAAGGCCTTGGGGGAGGGCCCCCCAGGGGGAACATGGCCTCTTTGGGATATGATCTGAAGGTTCTGGCTGTCCAGGAGAAAGCCCTAGAGCTTGCCTCGGGGATGACTGGAGGCCCCATCCCAACACAGGAAGGGGGAAAGGGAGCTCTCGCCTGTCAGCCTGGCCCAGAAGACTTGGCGTGCTGGAGCTGGATGGACCGTCCAGTTGACCCATCCCCTTCTCTGGCCTGGAGGAAACATCAACACGGAGGAGGGTCCCCCTGTAGAAACCAGACTCTCTCCCAGGCTTCTTCTTTCTCACCTGTGTGTAGGCTGTTTGTGGTTTCCGTTGTGAGGGGGGAGGGACACTATTAGTAGCTTGTTTTATGAGAAATAAAAATGAGTAAACCTTGGTGGCTGTTGCCTCTTTCTTCAGGCGGCTTCCTCTGATGGCAGGCTTCATTTCCTAGAAGGTCTGGATGTTTTCTCTGGCCCGGGTGCCCTCCACTCTGATCCTAGGAAGTCCTGGCTGCTGGTGGCACTGCGCTTTGCTGTGAGGACATTGACTGGTCCTCTTGCCCTTGCCTACCATGTCTGTGTCCTCTTTGTAATTCTCCCTCTTACCTCCACCCACACAGCTGTTCCCTCTAATATAGGGAGTGTCGCTGGGAGGGCTTTGGGGGTGGCACTGGGGGGAAGCCCCTTCCATGGCTTCAGGCTGGTGGGAGTGGGCACATTGGCCACAACAATGCTCTAGACAGGGAACAGGCCCCCATTGTGGTTCATGCCAGCTGTGTCCTCGTGTCGTAGGGACATATTGAGACCGAGGCAGCTGGTCCGGGTCTCAGAGCCGGAGGACTTCAGGTGAGGCCTGGCAGCGAAGATGAGGCTCTAGATTCTCTCTGGGGCTCCTGGCAGCTTTTCCTCCTGCCCCCTCACTCTGCTCACAGCTGTCCCAGGAACAGCTTCCTCGCTGCGTTCTGAGAACCTCCTCCTCATTCCTGTTCCCTTTACCACACTCTGCATGCTTGTATTTGCTAGTGAGCAGGTGGTGTTTCCCCTTGAAAGTCTCTCCCAATCCTTTCTTCAGTTATGCTTTCTTGGGAAAGGATCTAAGCCTTTGAATGTGGTTACACAGGTCTCTCCTCCTCCAGTGTGACACTGTGTCTGCTGTGTCATAGGCCCTGTCATATTTATCACTCACCATAGCCCAGGGAGACAGGCTCCCCATTCACACAAGTGGATTCAGACTCTGGAGTTTAGTGACTTGCTGGGTGCACCCAGCTGTGAAAGGCAGACTTTTCTAAGTCGAGGCCCAGAGCTCAGCCCACACCCCCAGCTGCCTCCCTTGAGGGGCTAGAGCATCAACCTTCTTACCCCTGCCCAGCCCTGACCCCAGGTGCTTGCCTTCAGCTGTGAGTGCATTTTTTTCCCCTGAGCAGCTTAGTCTTCTTAAAAGCCACTGATTTGCAGAGGACTGTTGTAAACTTTAGGGATTTGGGGAAGAGAAATAAGGGAGGCATTTGCCTATGCAGGACCCCATTGGGAGACTCGGGGTTGACCTGGCCTCCTACAGAGAGACCAGCCTGGTGTGGGAAGGGGGCGGGTCTGAGCTCACACTTGACTGTGGGCCCCATTTAGCTTTCCACTGCTTTCTCAAAAAACAAAACAAAACAAACAAACAAACAAAACCTGGTTTCACCGCAGCAGGACCACGAGTCAAGGAAAAGTAAAAGGCCCATCCTGTTTCTTCCTTCACCAAGAGGCTCCAGCGCCATGCGCAGCCTCTGTGGGGAGGGGAAAAAGGGCATTGTCAGCTGGGGAGTCACAAGGTCACTGCTGCTGGACCAGGCATCTTGTCAGGGCCCCTGTGGTGCTGTCAGAGGAGAGGCCTCTAGGCTGGTACCCACCCTGGTTCCCTAGAGGATCAGGGTAGGATGGGAAGCTGGCAGCACCAACTCCTTTGTAGAAAAAAACAGAGACAGCCAGGCTGGTCATCTAGTCATTTCCTCCCAAGTTCCTGAATGATCCACCAGGCCACAAGTATGCCCATGGAGGAGGCTGGCTTTCCCAGGTGCCCTGATCCTCCACTCGGTGGCATTATTAGGCTTTTTCCCTGAGTATAAGTGAGGACAGGCAAAATATTCCCTTTTTCATCTAGTGCCACCAAATCAAGCCCTTAATTCTAGGGCTTGGGTCACTGCACCCCTTCGTGTGACTCACGAATTGGTAAGGCAAAGGGTTATGACCTTGGCTATATGCCTGCCTACTAAAAACCTGTGTGACCCAGGTATCGCTTGTGATTTCTTGTCAGCTCTAGGCAAGCACCCTGACACTAGCCAGCACCTCATCAGCACAGCCACAGGCCTCCCTTCTGCACCCTGCTTCTTCCTTTAATGCTGTGAAGTTTACTTTGCTTGGAGTCTTCCTAGCCAGAACCTTGACTACAGCTAATGGTCCACGGTCCTGCAGGTGGCACCCCGACCTGGGCAACCCTGATCGGTCACACACGATGGTGAAAGGGCACTGGGTACTTGGATGTGGTCTCCCCACAAGATGATGGGCACATTGCTAAAGGACTCATGAGAGCGAGTTGGGAGAGACCAGCATACACTGCAGTAACATACACTTCCCAGCCTCAGTGGCTTAAATCACTCCTGCTGCATAGCCATCACATGTCTGCAGGGGTCGCTGTTCTTCACTTCCTCACTCGGGGCTCCAAGCTGAGGGAGGCTCCATCCTCCATGATGGTGGAGGCAAAACAAAAAAACACCACTGTGGTAATTGCATCCTGGTTCTTAATCATTATGCAGCTTCCCAGATTACTGCTGGCATGTCCATTGGGTGGCCGGTACCCAAATGCTGGCTCAAATGGGACCCAGGGCAGATCCTATAGAGGGGCTGTCCCACTGCACAAGCCCTTTCTGTGGAAAGTCCACTCAAAGGTCACTGTCTTTGGTTGTGTACCTGTGAGATGGTTCATGCCTTGCTCCCTGCTGGGGTGTCCGCTCACCTGTGGGCAACTCATACTCCTTGTTCTACCTAATGGCGAGGTGCTGGATGATTCTCAGCACCTCCGATCTTGGCTCTGTGTCTTTCTCAGTTCTCTCCTCCCTGGCTTCACTAGGTAGAGGAGGCTGATCAGTAAGTCTGTGGCTTCACAGAGGTCCAACTGGGAAGTGAGGGGTCAGGCCTGCACCCATTCCCTGAGAACCTCCCGCTTTTTCAGTTTCAAGCAGGAGGAGAGGAAGCCATCCACTGATTCTTGCCTCTCTCTCCTCTCCACCCCCACCCTTCTCTATAGATTGGGACTGGGCCTTGGGGCTGGTTGCAGAGCTGTTTCAAGTATCATGCTATCGTTGGGGAAGGTGCCCGGCCATAACTATTGTTCTTTAGAATATGGGATACTTAGCATCTTTTCTTCTCAGTGTTGGGTCTTAACTATGGGGAAATAGAAAATGTTACCCATCAAAGTCCTGTTATGGTGGGTTTAGTGATAGGTGCAAAGGAAACTGATCCCAGAGAGAATCCCCCAAGAGTTCCAACCCCAGGCTCCGGGACCCCCAGGCTCCTACCATCAGAATCCTAATGGGCCTGCTGCCCCAGACAACTCTGTGCTCGGGACATCTACCCCAGGCCACACAGGACCCCTGGTGACCCACTCATCTCCACTCCTCACACAGACCTCTGTGTAAATACATCCTCTAAAGTCCTGCGAGTGGCCCATTTCACCTCCTGCAATCCTGGCACCATGGAAGGACTCAGGCCCTTTTAACGG